TTCAGCAGCCAAGTACTATGTTTGAACATTATTCCAAGGAAAAAGGACTCCATGGAGCTCGCTCCTTGGTCATAATATTACAAATAAATATTATAAAGATAATATTATGGTCTTATATTATAAATGGTCATGAGGCACAGTGGAGGCTCAAACCTATCTGTACACCCCTAGCTGCACTGCCACTTTATATTTTCTTTCTAAGGCATCTATGGAAGATGCTTAACACTATGCTTAACAGATATGGCCCAGGCCCATGTTGACTTAAAGGTTAGCTAAGGCCAGAAGGACATGGTATTAGAGTGGAGTCTGGTTATGGTTCAGCACAGTGGGGGTCTTAGGTCCGACAAGGATAACTGATGTCCTTACCCACCAGGTCCTAGAAAGCTTAAGGGTGAGAGTCCAGCACCCTGGATAGCTCCTTCAGCAGCTGCCAGGGGTAAGCAGAGACTGACTTTCTAAAGAACCTCAGGCCCATTCAGCTGGTCTGTGAAAAGAGAACTTAGTTCTTTTGTGCTTAGGAATTCACTCTTGTTTGCCCAAGATGGGTTAGTTTTTTTGCTAAGTTTCCCATTTCCAGTCGCCTTCTGTCTTGACCTATACGCCCCTGTCTAGAAAAGGCCCGAGGATGGGGTAGAAGTGGAGGCTTCCGCTCTCTCATTACAAAACTGTCTTATCTCTGGAGTCCTTTCAGAGCTACATCTCAGAGTTGATCCTGGCAGTACATGCACCCCAAAATACTAAGTCTTTTGTCTCCACATTTCCCTACTTGCTCCTCTGCAGTCTAGTCTCCAAGTGACAGCAGGAGAGGTCTTTTAGATACCTTAATCAGGTCATAGGGTCTTAAACTTAAACTCTCACTGCACTTAAAGTCCAGATTCCTTTCTATGCCTTAAAATACTCTGCATGGTCATATTCCTGCTTCCTTCTCTCCCCATCACTGTAATCCAGCCACGATGGCCATCTTTCTCTTCTCCCAGCACACGACACACATTCCTTTCTCAGGACCTTAGTATATAC